TCATTATATGCTAACTCCTTATCGAGATAATGGTCATTTAAATAATTTACAAAATAACTTCAACACAAAATTGTCAAGAACGCGTGTAGTTATTGAACGTGCTTTTGGTATGCTGAAAGGAAGATTTCGAAAATTGAAATATATTTATATGTATAATACAGAAATGATACCTTTGGTTATACTTACTTGTTGTATTTTACATAACATATGTATAGAGAATGAAGACGAACATGGAATTTGATGCAATAGATATGGAAGATAATAATGATATTGCATTAATGGACGGATTAGAAAAAAGAGATCTCATTTCTACTTTATTGTAAGAATATTGTAATAGATAATGTATAATTAAAATTATATATTTTTATGAATTACACATATTAATTATGAAGAAAACGTTAAGTAAAATGTTCTATGCAACTTCAACGAAAAGATCAATTATTTACCGCATAAACCACTAATGATTCACGTAGCCATATGCTAAAATTCCTAATAATATAATAAAAGTGCTAATAATTTTATATGTAATGTTAATTACACTAATTGTAATTAAAGGAAAAATATATAGCATGAAGCAATAGCATATTTATAAAACATACATATGTGATCATATTTAACAAATGTATTGCATATAATCTGAAAGCATATACTTTTACATATATAATTTTAAAATAAAATCTTGAAATAAAAAAAAAGCAATGTACGTAGTAAATTTTTCTTAATATTGTATCCGCGCGTAAGAAACATTTTTTGTTCAGAGTAGTCTAATCTACAAGTATATGATAACTATTGTATTTAGCGACAGGTGCAAGGTTCAATATACTGATGTCTGTCACTAGATACAACAGCTGTTATATATTTGTAGATTAGGTCACTCTCAACAAAAAATCCTGTACCATTGTACAAATAATACTCAAGTTTTTGAGTTATTTATTAAAGAAGCTTCTATATATTGCTATTTTCAAGCACTAATAACACGACATTTTGCGTAGTTGTTTTCAAAATGATAGTGGACTTTTGTACTCAATTTAATCAATTCTACTTTTACATGAGCAGTTACATGATTTATATCAAACACCATGTATATTTTTATTATATGTATATATATTTCAATAAAAACATTTTAAAATAATAAATAAC